AAACTATACAAATATTACCGCAACATTGTAATAAATCAAACTTTTATTTTGCAATTATTAGTTATTATATCTATAATAGTGCAATCAGAAAAAAAATACATCAAATACCTAATCATATATATCAAATACTCTTGAAATATCATATATTTTATACATACAAGTACTTCTATTTTAAATACAAATATGCGGATGCCTACGACCTCCACTAAATCCATATATATTAGTAGCTTTCACATATGTTTTATTTGTTCTTATTTTTATTGATGACTATCTCTGTTTAAGATTGAAGGAGCATTTGTAATGGGTCTGGGATATTGGCTTTCGGAAAAGATAGTTTATGAAAAAACAACTGGCGAATTATTAACAAATAGAAATGGAATTATAAACCACCAGGTGCTAAGATATTTCCGGTCGATTTTCGCATAGAATTTATCAAAAGTGAGAATAATGATGCGAAGATTTAAGATCTAAAGGTAATGTGAATTAGTTTTTAATATTATTAGTATAATATTTATAAATTACCAGCAACTGATTAAAAAACTAAAAATATATGATGTATATGTTGAAACCTTTTAAAACGTAAAAATATGCAATTTTCGATTTCGATTTTTTGCGATTACTACAACTTATCCTACGGGAAGTTATTAATTAAATGAAGATAGTTATTATATATTAAATACATTAATTTAGGCACTGGGGAACCATCGATTTGTATGGCCTTTGTTGCAGTTTGTGCAATTCGGCATGCTTTGCAATCTGCAAGAGCCGATGCTAATGGTGGCAAACGCGCTGAATGGTTTTCTTTAGGTTAGAATAAATTACTGCTTTACAATCTTTACATGAAACAAAATATAAATATTGATTGTTAGGAAAACCGTATAATTTTCATGATTATTTCAGGAGCTCCAACAACGCCTGAAGAAATTTTATAAATGCAAATGTTGACTATCAAACATTTACAATTTGATACCTCAAGTACATAAATGATATGTCTAAGGAACGAAACCACATTATAAACCACAAGTACTTAATGTTATTGCTTTATTTGCAGAGATTTATTATGTGATTTATTATTCATTTTGTACTTATTGTTATATATCAAATAAATATGAATATAAATATAGCGGTTTAAAGCAAAGTTCTTTATTTAGTAAATTGTAGCCGTTAAAGACTTATCCATGATCATGAATATAAGGTATCTATAAAACTGCTTAATATTTTCAACACTATAAACTGAAATTTATTCCAAATTTTGTTAAATCATAAATTATTTTCGATTAATTTCTTAATTTAAGCAATAAAACATGGTTTCTGCCTTGTATTGTATTATACTTGGGTTCGGTACTCTGTTGGGTCAACCTGGTTTCAAGCAGCATATCTGCTTTTACCTGAAAATTATAAATAAAAAATATGTTTGTACTACAAACATATTTTGCATTTATATGTAGAATACAAAGAACAACTTTCGTACTAAAATTTTAACTATGGTTACCTTTGGGCAGAATTCCGTCATGATACAGCGCGAATACATTATTATATACAGCGGAGATTCAAGTTCTTGTATTATGAAATTTTATATTTATTAAAATAATTTAGTATATTTTAAATGGCAGGCTACATCTCATAATTAAAAATTTAAGGTTTACTTATGGTAGTAATTTTCAATATATTATTTTACTAACTAATAATACTTTACAAACGTTTTGTTACATTTAGAACTGGGGAAATACTTATTAGAGTAAATGGTGAAATTCACACAGGTGAGTATTGATACGTTTTGAATAATTCTGCTGAATTTGAATATAACTATATTTTTTAAAACATTATTCAATGTTAGTCACACATGATTTGCCTGGAAATACATCGCTAAATTTATATTTGCGGGATCACCTTGGCCTGAAGGATGTAAAATTTATGTGCAACGAAGGAGGATGTGGTGCATGTATTATTTCTGCTTCTAATTTGCATCCAGTCAGCGGAAGGATTATCAATTTTGCTGTAAATTCGGTAAAATTATACCTAAAATGAGTAATGCAGTTAATAATATTTTTAAATTACCGTAGAATAAGTAGTAATCGCAAAAAAATCGAAAACGAAGATTTTTGTATATATTTACGTTTCAAAGTTTTTTGAACATTTTGGCATACCTTAGAAAAAATGGATCCGTGTGTGCTTGTATGTGTGTATGTGTGTGTGTGTGTATGTGCGGATACAAATTTTCTTCGACGATTTCGGGAACACCGATCAACCGATTTGAATAATTTAAAAAACATTCGATTCGTATTGATAAGGAGACGTGCTGATTAGTTTTGGCGAAGGCAGGTCTAGCCGCTCCAAAGATACGGGGAAAAAAGTGCCAAAAACGGTAACTCATTGATAAGTTGAAGAACTGATTAAATTTTTAGGAAGGCAGGTCCAGCGGTTATGGACTCTCAATAAAAAAAATGTCATTTTGCGGTCAAAAATGTTTATTGGACATATGTACATCAATCAAATCATCAGATATTTATAGAGATTTTAATAATGTGTACACATTTTGTGTGAATTTTTTTGGGTTCCGTACCAAGATTTTTATTTACGGTACAGAAAGTTCCAGCAATTTGCCTTAAGGCACGATGCCATGTACCCCACTAGTTATTATATCGAAATCGTAAATTATATGAGAAACAATTTTGATATTGTAAAAATGTGTTCAAACATGTAAAATATCAATTGTTCAAATAGTTACTATAATCAATATTTAATTTATTATAAATACAAATAATTATAATTTTTATATAAATGTTAATAATACTGATGATATAAAAATTCACTTGAATTTATAACATTAGATCGAATTGTTATTTTAGTTTACAAATAATTCTACATCAGAAGTGCAATAGATAGTAATATTATATTTATATATTGTTGAATGTTATGGTTTGAAATTGCATGACCCAAATATATCGGACTAATTTTGCAAAGAATACTATATTTCTTTATAAATGTTTTTGACGCTCTTGAACGCACTCTAGTCTCATTTTATTGGACTTCAATATAAAAAATTCTGTATTAATAGTAATCTATGTAAATTTTCAAATCCTAAATCAATTTAAACTTCATTAATGGTGAGGATTACAGATTAATTAGATATTAAGCGGACTGTAAATTATAAATATTCCATCATTATAAGATATGATGAAACGTCGAGACCTCGATTAATCGAACTAATTGTTGTCGATGGGCATTCGGATAATCAAAAATCCGGATAATCGAGTGTATGAGGAATAATGTTGTGTATTTATTAAAAATAACAATCACATACATAGATATCAACAAAAATCAATGTTTATTAAGAAATTAACACTTTCCTATGTTTGTACATACATATCTTCTTCGATTACATTACATATGTAACTTTCGTGGAGCGTAGTCCGGATATTCGCGAATCCGTATAACCGAGGTCCGGATAATCGAAGTTCTACTGTATTTAATTTATGATATATATATATTGATCTTGAATCTACAACCTTCTTCTCTCGTTACTTTTGCTAGTCTCTCAATTATTTTAAGTTACAAGTATTTATATTCATGCGTTTATACTCCCTACGCTGAAGGAACCCGGGTTAAGTAGAAAAAGCCCTGGTCAATTCTTAACCAATTAATAATTTATAACTGAACATATTTTGTTAAAGTGTCTCGTATCAGTATTCTCTTGTCATGGTTGGGAAATAAAAACTGTATCTGGTCTTGGAAACCAGAAAATAGGTTATCACCCATTACAAATAACATTAGCAAAATATCATGGCACTCAATGCGGATTTTGCAGTCCGGAATGGTAATGAATATGAATAGGTATATAACAAAAAATATTTTTTATTAATTCTATGAATATAATTTATTATATATGTATGTATTATGATTTAACAGTTGGTTGGAAAATAATGATAAAATTACAATGGCCGAAATTGAAAACTCGTTTGGCGGTAATATTTGCAGATGCACAGGCTATAGACCAATTCTGGATGCTTTTAAATCTTTAGCATCGGATGCTGATCCAGCTCTATGTAATAAATTTCAAGTACGTGTATATGACAGTAAAGACATTTTATATCTACTCATGAGAAAAATGTATTTTTTAATTAAAATTAATTCTAATAGGATATAGAAGATTTGGGCAACGTACAGATCAATCCAAATACTAAGGGATTGCTGAACAAATGTAGTTTCTTGAATTCGCCAAATTATTTTAAAATTTTAATCGATGATGCTATTTGGTATAAAGTTGTATCAATACATAACATATTGATATTTTAAGAGAGCATCAAGGTGTAACTTACATGTTAATCGCTGGAAACTGCAAATGGCGTTTATCGAAATCAAATAACTCCAAAACTTTATATCGATATTAATGGTGTGTCAGAACTACGAAAGCATATAATCAATAGTAATATAATTTTGGGAGCCAATATTAATTTAACCGAAACCATGCTGTACTTGACAGAATATGGTAAAGTTAAGGGTTTCGAGTACGTTTGGAGTTAGTAAAACACATTGATCTTATAGCTAATGTTCCAGTTCGTAATGTAAGTAGTTTTTAAATAGTGCATAGTTTAGTCCAAAAATTAATCATTAAAATTTTTATTTTTTATAATTCAGGTTGGAACTATAGCAGGAAATTTGATGCTAAAACATCACCATCCTGAATTTCCATCGGATATATTTTGATATTAGAATTGGTTGAGGCCAAATTGACAATCAGTATGTGCAAATTATTTAAGTAATTAAATTAATATTAAATTAATTAAGCAATTAAGTAATTAGTTAATTACGCGTATTTTTATCATATTTTATTTAAATCGTAATAAATTAAACTTGCTAGTGAGAAATATTAAATCGTACGTGCACCATGAGTCGGATTTCTTTAGTATATTCTGAAAAATTGTACTTAAGAAAATTAAATGAGCTGAATTATCAAACTAAATAACTAATTATGTATGCTCAATCTATTTAGGGGGCATCCATTAATCACGTGCGGTTTTTAGGGGGAGGAGGGGTTTGACAAAAAATCTCAAAATATCACATGGGGGAGGGAGGAGTCTCTTAAGATATTACGTGCATTTATTTTTTAACTTATTTTTTTAAAGAATTCAAATGTTTTCAAAAAAAATCAGGAATTTAACAGTGTTTCCATGTAACTAAAAATACACGTGATGTTTGGTGTGGGAGGGTGGGTAATTTTTAATATTACTATGTATCACCAACAGGGAGAGAGGGGGGTCCAAAAATCCTTAAAAAATCGCTCACATGATTAATAGACGCTTCCATAATCATTGTTTCTTAGGTAAAATGTTTAATAAAATTTCATAAAAAAATTAACGTATATTAAATTATTTTAGTGGATATATGTGGAAGTAAATTCATCGTTTCTCCGGCAAACTTTCTGGACATGGATATGGTTAACAAACTGATTGTGAATATTATTCTTTCTCCGATTAGAGGAAAATATAATCTCAAAACTTACAAGGTGTGATAATATCAACTATTAAAAATTATTTTGTTTTATTTCACAATATTATTTTTTAGATAATGATTCGAGCTCAAAATGCACACGCTTATGTAAACGCTGGTTTTTGTCTGAATTTAAACTCTAATACCGAAACTGTGGAAAAAGCTAAATTGGTTTTTGGAGGAATAGCTCCTACGGTAATATGAATGTTTATAGAAAATTACTTAGCATGAACTTTAGTATTATTATTTTTAGTTTATTCATGCAACCAAAACTGAGAAATTACTCTTGGGTATGAATTTATTCGACAACAATGTTTTAAAGTCAACACTAGAAGCACTTCATGCAGAAATAGAGCCTGATTGGATTCTTCCTGACGCTTCTCCTGAATATAGAAAAAAATTAGCAATATCTTTATTCTACAAGGTAATTTTACAAATTTCTGATTAAACGTACAATACTTAAATATTTTAAATTTAAATTTAAAGATCGATTTCAATAAAAAAATAGATTAGATTAAAAATTAACTTTAAGATATTATTTATATTATTAGCAGCGGAGATTTGATATTTTCCATAATAAAAAATATATTGAATTGTGTTTTTTGATAAATGATTTTGTAAATTTTAATGGTGCAATCCAATATATATGTTCAAAAAATCACTAAAATCACTATAAAATTTCATAAATCAATTTTGATTTGCAATAATGATTTTGTAAATTTTAATAGTGCAATCCAATTATATGCTCTAAAAGTCACTAAAATCCAAAACATAAACCAATCTTTATTTCAACATTCTGTTTATAAATCATAAAAAAATTTAAATTTTAACCTTTTATAAATTTTTTATTGTTTTATTCTACAGTTTGTTCTCCATTCCTGTCCAACAAAAAATTTATCATCTAAAAACGTATTTGGAAGAGAACTGTTGTTCAGAGGTTTGTCTTCCGGGCACCAAAAGTATGACACAAATAAAAGTAGTTGGCCTCTTCAGAAACCGATTTCCAAAATTGAGGGTTTGGCTCAGGTAACATAATATAAAAAATAAAAATTTAATTCAGGGTCTGATGCTTCTTGAAAACAAATCAGTTGCACATGCATCGATTATAAATGCACAATGGTTCTTCATATTATCTTTTTTATCATAGAAACTGAATTGAAAATTCATTAATTGCATTTGTAATTATATAAGTTATATACTTTTCGATTTTAGTGTTCCGGTGAAGCTCAGTATATAATTGACATTCCACCATTTCCAAATGAATTATATGGGGCATTTGTATTATCTACAAAAGCAGGAGCTGAAATAACCAAAATAGATGTATCAAAAGCTCTAGTAAGATATATATGTTCTGTTAATTAATTGTAACACATTCTAAAGGATTTTTATATTCAAGGCAACAGAAGGTGTCGTTGCTTTCTTTAGCGCCAAAGACATTCCAGGTAAAAACACATTCATCAACATGACTATGTTATTGGCATCAGAAGAAGAAGAATTATTTCCTGAAAAGACAGTGAAGTATGTTGGTCAACCTATCGGCGTAATAGTGGCAGCATCGCAGACATTGGCAGTAGCTGCAGCAAAATTAATTGATATACAGTATTCTCATGAAGGAAATCCGAAAATAAATGTTCAAGATATTATAACGAATGACAAAGAAAATAGAGTCAAATGCAAAATGACAGTGGATGCCAAAAATCAAGGTGTATAAAATAACAAAACAATAATTTTGAACACTGATATTAGTTTAGCCTCATTCAGTTGCTTGCGTTTAAATACTTATACGAGTACATGAGTTGATTATTTTAGTTTAGATTAGTTTTAAATTTGATGTAACGATTGATTTTTTTATTTGAGAATAAATTTCTTAACAAATATATAAGTTTCGAAAATTACATTGCCCATGGACAAATAATCTAGATGGAATCTTATTAGTATAATTTTCTTTAAATATTGAAAAAATCACATATATTTTATTTTAAATAATATAATTGAATTGAAATATAATTGAGTTAATAAATCGAAAAATATATGTGAATGTTTCAAGTATTTGTTTTGATGTCTGTGATATATTCAAAAAAATTATACTAATTAAATACAATTATACTAAATTTATCCAGATTCTTTGGATTCAAAAGCTTCACATATCAACAATTATTTAAAAATGATCAGGATTGAATCCCTTTGCTATTGAACATATCACAGATATCTTATACCTGATCTAAAGAAAATATCTGAATTTCTGATTAATTAGAAAGCTTTATAGAAACTCAATCTAACTTTTGTTAACAGTTAAATTTCTCTTCACAATAATTGTTTTGATTTGTGAATTAGCTATTAAAAATAAATTTTGTTTTCAGGTGAAAATATTGATAATATAATCAGAGGTACGATGGAAATGGGAACTCAATATCATTATACTATGGAAACACATGTAGCAATTTGTGTTCCCATTGAAGATGGCATAGATGTCTATTCCTCTACACAATGGATAGATGCAGTTCAAATTGCAGTAGCTGATGTTTTGAACATTCCTGTTTGCAAGTACATTATATCATTAAGATAATATATTTATTTTTGCTTAAAAGTAATAACTTCCATTCTATTCATCTGCTAATTGATTTTTTTTTCTTCCATATTAGTAATAGTAGAAACAAGTTATTATCCATGTCTATTATCCATGTCTAGAACCAATAGCAATGACATCAAGTTATTTTTAGTTTTGTATGAAAAAATAGATAGATAGAGGACTAGAGTTATCAACTTTGCGGAAACATATAGATTAGTTTTTGGTAAAGATCGGTTTTCTTGTAATAAAGTGTTAAAGAAAAATTTTCGACGAGTTTTATTATTATTTTTTTACGGTAGATACCATAGTCTTATAGATCATACTAAAATTTACGGCTCTGCGACAAGTCGTTTAATTTTAAATGTTCTTCAAAATTTGCAAAAATTAGTATTGTTTTTTTACATTTGTCAAAATTTCAGAAATTTCAGAGATTTCAGAAATTTAAAGCCATTTGGTGTATTTTAAGACTATCGTTTGTCAGTTTTGTGCGACGATCTGCCAAGCCGTTTCTTTGTGATTTGAAAAAAAGTGTTTAACTTCTCGTTCACATTTAAGCTCATACTACGGAATCGATTTTAAAAATCAAAAACTGTTTGAAAGGTATTAGTTGGGAATGATACTGATAATTAACTGTTGAAAAAAAATTAAGCTGATTTTTATGAAACTTTTTTTGGCGATATATATCGTGGTCTTATAGAAATTACTGAAATATTACGGATTTACGACAAGTAGTTTGATTTTAAAAAATCATCAAAGTTTAAGAAAATGAGTAGTTTTTTTACTTGGTATAAAGATAGTGTTCGTTCGTTTTCAATCATATGTAATAAAACCACTCGGACTACTTTTAATCAATCATAAATTAATTTATATTTTATTGAATAAGTCGATTATTTATACATATAGGGGAAGTATATGTAACTTGCCTCAGGGCAAATACCAATACCAACTAGTTTATATCTTCACTTATATAAGTATCGGCATGTAATATATTATGGTATGCAAATATAATATTGTCGCAAAAAACTAATTAGAACAAGTCCTTATCGAGTTACATTCCATGGCTTTTAAAATTTAGAAATCGGTGCAAATGTTTTTGAGAAATCTTCAAAGAAAGATCAAATGGGTGTCAAATGATTCAGAATGACTCGTATAATAATATAATGACTTGTTTCAGTGAATATATAAATTTAATTATGATTATCGTTACTTTTATAATTGTAAAAACCCTCATTATATATTCACGTTAGGGTTAATTTGGCTGTGAGGCGAATCGGTGGTGGTTATGGTATGAAAATATCTCGCAGCAATTTGGTGGCTGCAGCATGTGCTTTAGCTGCTTATAAATTGAAGAACCCATACGAATCGTTACAAGTTTTGAAGATACTATGAATGCTTTCGGAAAAAGATACGGGTGTATCAATGATTACGAAGTATATCCTAATATTTTAGCAAACAACTAGATATATTTCTTTGATAACGTATATATTTCTTTTTAAGGTGGCTTTTAATAAACGTGGCAAAATTCAATATTTAAAAAATAGTTTTTACCAAGATCATGGTTGTTCAGAAAATGAAAGTGTTTTAGCATTTACAATGGGCGTTATAAGTAATTGTTATGATATGAGCAGCTGGGATATAAAAGCTTATTCTGTAGTAACTGATACTCCGTCTAATACATTTTGTCGCGCTCCAGGTTTATATTTTATTATATGTGAACTGTTTTATTTAAACATTAATTGAATAAACATTTAAGATTGCATTTAGGGTCAGCTGAAGCAGTTGCCATGATTGAAAATATAATGGAACATATAGCATTTGTTCTTGGATTAGAGCCATTAGAAGTGAGGATAGAGAATATGAGGCAAAGTGATAATTTGCTTTTAAAAATTATTGATGAATTTAGGAAGAAAACAGGTCAATAATAATCATAATTTTTATTTCATTCATCAAATAACATTTTTATTTAAAACCCAAAAACAGCTAAAATATCGCTAGAATCATTACTATCTCAATTTTTAGATTACGACCACTGCAAAACTGAAATTAATAAATTTAATAAACAAAACCGTTGGCGCAAACGTGGGATTTCCATAGTGCCATTAATATATCCCTTGGAATATCTTGGTAATTTTTGCGCAATGGTATGCATTTATCATGGTGATGGAACAGCAATCGTAACACATGGTGGAATTGAATGCGGTCAAGGAATTAATACAAAGGTAAAATTAAAAGGCATAGTTAACATATTGGACTATAAGATTTTCTTTTTATATTTTGATTTTTTTTTTCAATAGGCTGCGCAAGTTTGTGCTTATGCTTTGGGATTGCCTCTGTCTATGGTGCAAGTTAAACCTTCATCGGCATTAACTGCTCCAAACGCCTACTTAACTGGAGGAAGTTCAACGAGTGAAGCTTGTTGTTATGTAAACAGCTGTTTAATCATAATTAAAATTGCAAGTATTATAAATTTTATTTTAATCATTTAAATTATAGGCAGTTCTGGAAGCTTGTAAAACTCTGTTGAAAAGATTGGCTCCTCTCAGAGAAAAATATGAAAATCCGCCCTGGAAAAATTTAATTGCAAAAGCATTTGACGATGGTGTTGATTTGCAAGCTACAGCTTTGTAAGAATTAATTACGAAATAAATATTTTGATTAGCGAATGTCCATTAGTAAATAATTATATATTTGATTGTTATTACGATTCATAAAAATGAGTCATTTATAAATTATTGCAAAGAGTAACTTATTGCCAAAATATGTTTATTTTGCAGTTGTGACACAAAAAATAATGTTGATACGTATAATATAGCTGGCCTAACAAATTGCGAAGTGGAGATTGATATTTTAACAGGGAACGTAATGATTTTGAGAGTAGATTTGTTGGAAGACACAGGTGACAGTATGAGTCCAGAAGTAGACGTAGGACAAGTAATTGAAATTTCAATACCATGTCATATTTTAAGTGGGCGATAAAATAATTTGTTATTTGTAAGGTGGAAGGTGCTTTTGTCATGGGATTGGGATATTGGTTGAACGAACAAATTATTTACGATGATAAAACAGGTGAATTATTAACTAATAGAACTTGGACATATAAACCTCCTGGCGCAAAAGATATACCAATAGACTTTCGAGTAGAATTCATACGCAATTCTAAAAATCCCTTAGGTGTCTTGCGATCAAAAGGTATTTAAACATAACGATTTTTTTTAAAATAGATTTTAAACAAGTTAAATTCATTGCAGCAACAGGTGAACCACCATTCTGCATGGCTTTTTCAGCAGTATGTGCTATTCGACACGCGCTTCAATCAGCAAGATTGCAAGCATCAGAAAATAAATCAGCAGAATGGTTTCCTTTGGGTAATAAGAAGCATTTATTATTTAATTGATAAATAATATAACTTATAATATTTTTTCAGGAGCTCCAACTACACCAGAACATGTATTTTTGAATTGTTTAAACAACTATAAGCAATATGTTCTATAAAAATATACTAATTAAATAATAAGTATATTAGAATTGCACCGTACTCTAAAAAAATCTATTAAATGTAATGCAAAATAAATAAAAAAATATAAATGCTCCGTGTTATAATATTAATTATTACAGAAGATGTATTACCTATGGCTAAAAGCAAAAGCCTTACTTTCCTTCAATTTCATCTATAAATATATGTATATACTCTTCTTTTCTTATATACTACTTTCTTATATACTTTCTTATATACTCTTCTTTTATCTATGTGCATATATGTAATTAGTGCAGTATCAGATATTTAAGGAATATTCATTCTTATTTATCAATTTATGAATCATTTAATCATATACTCTTCTTTTATCTATGCATATATCTAAGATAAAAGAAGAGTATACTCTCTTTTATCCATCTTTTATCTACAATTTTTTTATCTATTCTTATCCATAATATTTCTTTTATCTATGCTTGCATTCATACACATCCCCTATTATTATATTGTCTATGCACCATCCTTTTACGCTCTTATCTAAGACACCATCCATTTAGCTTGGTGAATATCTCGGCTATGATCGTGGCATATGTCATCCTTATGTCATTGTCATCAACTGTCAAAATCACTAAAGTCACTCATGTCACTGTCCGTCAATTTTCCGCGCAGTGTGTAAAGTCAAATAAACTCACAAAAATATCAACATTTTAAGGTTTAATTTAAATATAACTTTTTACACAATTGATACAAATATTTTTTTAATACATTGTTTAGGACATAATGGGAGGCAAGCAAAAGCAAGCGCAAAGAACGAAAAACAATGCGAGGGTAATTAAATATTTAGATTTAATTTCGCTTTTCAATATATGCAATTGTTATCAGGATATGAATTGCTATAATGATCCATTTATCTATTTATTTGATATTTGTTAACTATATGGTATAGTTCTATCTCCACAAGTATTCTACGTTACATATGTAATAAATAACTTACAATGCAATCTGATGTTATCACAAGCAGGTTGTCTTGAATATGAATGAGATAAATGGCAATGATGTGTTAATCAATTTAAAACAGAAATAGCGATAAAATTGAACTATATTGTTTTGATGTGCTTTAGGAAAAGGCTATCAAATAAAAACAAATATTGCTAAAACTATAGAAAACATTGCTTTCTTGTTTTTGTTTGTAATGAAATATGGAACACATTGCAAAAAATTTTATTAAAAAATCAGCAATAAATTGACAATCATATGTATTAACATAATGTATTAATATATTACATAAATATCTTAACAGAAATTAAACTAATGTTTATATGATTACGGTGCAGGGTACTATAACACACTATAATACAGACTAATATAACACTAATAATTTCCTATCATAAAAAATATTATTATTAAATTTGTATACTAACATATAATACATGTATACTTTATGCATAATACTTTGTTATAATAATAGTTTTGTAACATAATATAATAATTCATTGCACATATTATTTTATTGTTTAAATGCACTTTGAGGTGTTAATTTTTTTTTTTTATGTTTGTCTCAAAAACGTTTTGTCGAGTATCGAACAAGTTTAAACTGCCGCAATACTCATTGACATTCTTTTTTTGGCTAATTTTTTTCACCTTGTCTAGGAGTGAGAAATTTAAACTTTGCTAAGAGTTTTGGTGATTCTATGATGCCATTCACAATCTTGTAGAAAAAAGATGATTTTTCTCCGGGCTTGTAAAGTTGTTACTTTTGCTTTTGTTTATGATTAATTCAGTGTTGTGTTCTCTCAACATTTTATAGTGTTATACTTACAATTATTTCTGTTACATGTAGGGAGTTATGTTTTTTATATATGCCTTATAAAAAAAATTCCTGAAAAATAAATCGGAGAGGCTAACTCCTATCCCTTGGTTTCGATCAAAATATGCGAAAACCGTTCCGGGGATATACCTAACAGTTTCCCAAATTTGCACGATGATTAGATGTATGGTTTATGAATGCATAGGACACAGATATACAGCATACATTCATTTATACACACACACACA